AGAATTCTCTATGTGGGTATCAGTTATAAAACTATATTTCTTTTTCTTCAGCCTGCAAAACTAGTTGCTTAGCCTGTCTCTTGTCTTTAGTCATGTAGAGTAGTTTGATCTGTTTTTTTACCAGAAGAGGAAATGCATCTATCCTAGATGCTGGTGAAGCTGGTTCTCCAGTCGTAAGTACTGTGTTTTAATCCACCTGTTCACCAGGAGGAGAACTGGGGCCTTCCTGAATTACTGATACATAGATGGGAACTGTCATTTTCAGATGTAGAAATCACCTTTTTTACTAACAAAAGTGCACTGTTAAATGAGCTGGAGTTTCACCCTAGTAAATAAGGCCATGACCACTCCCAGGTGGGGAGGCAGTCTTTAAGGCCTGGACCCACTGTCCTCCACAGATCTGGAATAAAGTACATTTATGGATATTGCATTCTGTTTGTCTTATTGGTGACTGACTACGGAAAGAACCCCTTGCGTTCAGTAACACAACTACCACCACCCTTGAGAGTTCAGACCACAAATTCCCAAAAACTACCTCGTAGAAGGAGTAAGAAATCTAATCAGGGGTAGAGTGTCCAATAAGCACAGGTTTACTAATCTATAGTGAAATGTCATAAGTAAACTTGATCTGGTGAAGAACTTCCAAGCTGTTCAGATACATATTAGCTACCAAGTGCCAGTAAGCCCATGTTTACTTACCTTTTACTGGGCCTCCAGACCTGTCAGGGATAGAAGGGGCTTTGGATTGGGAAAGAAGTGGGAACCTGTCGTCCCTACGAGCAGAATGTGTGAAATTGTTCACCACAAATTCTAATGGAGAACTAAAAGGGTAGAGCTGGCGGGAAAAATGAAAGGCTCCGCTGCAATATGTTGAACTGGAGAAATCCAATCAATGGAAAAGAAGAAATGGTCAGTCAACAAGAATGAGAAAAACCTTCAGCAAGGTGGGTCGTCAACAGCAGCCACTGTAAACCCAAAGACAGCAAGGAGGAAGAAGTGGTACTGGCCAGCCAGTGGTTTTTTGGTTTGCCTGGTTTTTTGTTTTGGGCTTTAAAAAAATATTTTTATTGGTTTACACACACACAAGTCATATACATTGTGTTTCATTCAGGTACATAGTGTTTTGTTCATTTATTCACATTATGTTTCATAAGATAATTTGTATATATTGTGTTTTAAAAGATTAATCATCGTTTTAAAAGATTAATCACCACTGATCTGTACTCATTATTATGATTACATAATGGTGCTGGGAGCCTTGGTAGCAACCAATGGCCCCAGGTTTGGGAACTGCACCTGGCACTGCAGTAGCAGGGAAGAGTAACATGTTTGAGAGGCACACTTGATACGGAGGTGGTAATGGCTAGGATGGTCTGTCCACCTGCTGCACAGAGGTAACTCGTGGTCGCTGTGAAGCTGAACACTGTGACACTGATGTGTCAAATGGAAGAATAGTTACCCATGGTGGACAGTGTTTGGTAGAGCTCCCCGATTAAAACAAGCTTGGAAGCAAGATTGGCATCCACTTCCAAAATAGCTTGCCTCTGGAAGCCCTATGAACCTGGAGAAAGGACAAAAGTTATACAAGTGTCCAGCTCTTTTGTTCATAGGGTTGCTATGAGTTGCCTGCAACTAGACAGCACTAAACAACAACAACAATGGCTAGCAACCAACTGGATACACAATTTAGAGTTTAGAAGAGAAGTTCTGGCTGAGAGCATCTATTCTGGACCCCATGACATTCAGGAGAGAGGGTGGAAGTAGAAATGCGGCAGTTCTGAGGACTGGAGCTCTCTGTCCTGACACTACATCCTTTATGCAAACTAAAATGCAAATTCAGGATGGCTCTTGCTCCTTGCTACCAAGTTGCGCCAACATACAGCAATCCTATGAACAGCAAGATGGCACTATTATTACCCATAGAGTTAGCACTGAGTGATTTTGGAAGCAGACAAGTAGGTCTTTCCTTCTGGTCTCTCCTATATTGCATCAAGGGTCAGGGCTGTGTGAGTTTAAGAGTCAAAGAGCCAATTCCTAATCCATAGAGCACCTTCAGGGCCAGCCACCACTTGCACAAAGCTTGAGTGAGAGTTTTACTCCAGTGTCTAGTAGAGGTTACCAGTTTTCTCATTCTTCCTGTGGTCTTCCTCTCTCTCCACTACTGGCAGTCAGGAGAAATGCTAGAAGCAGCCTTGGAAATACGAAGTCATAGAATTCAGGAAGGCGGAAAGCATTATACTTGGCCCTTCCCCCAATCTGTTCTTTATTTTCCTGTGTCCCGGCTCCCTACCATCCCCCATGAGACTCTGAGCTGCCTGTGTTGCCACCCTAAAAAAATCTGTTGTTGTTACGTGCCATCAAGTTGGAACCAACGTGTGGCTGAGCCTCCAGAGGGCTTTCTGAGGTTCTAAATTGCACGGAAGAAGGTTGCCCCTCCTTATCCCACAGAGCAGCTGGTGGATTGCAATCGCCTGCCACCGGGTCAGCAGCAGAACCCTTTGTCCAGTCGGCCACCAGAGCTTCCTTGTGAACATTTAGTAGATGAATAAAAACACACACTGGCGTTCTTGCGTTTCCCTTTCTCACACTTCCAATTTAGTGTTTAATGAAAATAGATTTTTCATTACTTTCTGCCTCCATGACTTTTTTAAAAAAATGTAACAGATTTTCTTTTCTCCCCTCTAAGTGGTTCTAATTTTCTCTAAAAAATAGAGAAATTTCAGGTTTACAGAAAAATTCTGTCATAAGTACAAGGAGTTCTCATATAACCGCCAGCATACCTATAAACACGCACATACCTATACATAGTTTTTCCTACTGTCAGCAGCATGTTGGTATATCTGGCATAACTAAAGGACCAACACTGACACACTATAATGCACACGACAAAGGATGATGGGAAAAAAATTGACGTCTTTGAACTATGGTGTTGGAGAAGAGCACTGAATAGCCAGCCAATGGACAGCCAAGAGAACAGATATGTCTTGGAGAGGGTGCAGCCAGAGTGCTCTTTTGAGGCAAGAATGATGAGGCTTTGCCTCACATACTTTTCACATGTTGCTAGGAGGAGCTATTCCTTGGAGAAGGACATGATTCTGGGAAGGGTGGAAGGTTGGTGAAGGAGAAAAAGACCTCCAACCAGGTGGATTGACATGGTGACTGCTGCAATGGGCTCCTGTGTGTCAGGAAGAGTGAAGATGGCTCAGGATAGAACAGGGTTCAGATTTTTTGTTCAACTTGACACCTAACAACAACAACAACAACAATAATAATAATGTGTACTAGGGAATTCTCATGGCTTAGTGGTAAGGAGCTGCGCTGCCAACTCAAAGGCATATGGTTCAAATCCACCAGCTGCTCCGTGTAAGAAAAATGGATAATCTCCTCCCAGGTGATTTACTGCCACAGAAAGCCTGCTCGAGTGTTAGCAAAGGGGCCTGACTTGACGGTACGTAACAACAACAAGGCACATTAGGATTCACTCTGGGTTGTCCCGTCTAATGAGTTTGAAAATTGTATTATGTCAAGAGCCCACCATCACAGTTTCATCCAGGATGGTTTCAGAGCCCTTAATATCCCCTGAGCTTCACCTCTCCATCCTTTCCCCACAATGTTTGGCTGCAGCAACAGGCTCAAACACTACAAAGATTGTGAGGCTGGTGCAGGACAACACGGTGTTTCGATGTTTTTCTTTAAGTGACTCTGAGTCTGAACTGACTGGGAGGCACCAAACAATAATCACCATCCCTCCATTTTCATTGCCTCTAGAACATTTCCTTTTCTAGAATAGTCACATGGATGCCTTTGGACTGTGGTGCTAGAGAAGAGTAGATCCCATGGACTGCCAATAGAACAGATATGCCAAACAGGTATGTCTTGGTGAGGGTGCAGCCAGAATGCTGGTTGGAGGCAAAGATGATGAAACATCATCTCACATACCTTGGGCATGTTGCTAGGAAAGGCAATTCCTTAGAGAGGGACATCATGCTTGGAAAGGTGGAGGGACAGCAAACAAGAGGAAGACCCAAGTAGACTGACACAGTGACTGAAGTGATGATCTCAAATGTGTCAGAGATTGTGAGGATGGCACAGGATAGGACAGGGTTCAGATCTGTTGTTCAGAGGGTCACTATGAGTCGTTCTTGACTTGACAGTACCTAACAACATAGCAACATAGCTTTTCCTTTTCTAGAAGTTACACAGTTGGAGTCACCCATTATCTAATGTTTCAGACTGGCTTCTCTCCCTGAGCCTAGGCCTTTAGGACTCCTCTCATGTGTGATCACACCAAGAGCTCTGATGGTCTAGTCCTTCGGGAGTTGAGCTGCTAACCCCAAGGCCATGCTTCTCTGGCAGTTCAAATCTACCAATGGTTCTTCAGGAGACAGGCAATGTCCCATGGAACTGAAAACCTCAGAAACTCAGCAGCTAGAGGGTCAACTGAACAGCTGAGTTTGAGAATTGATGCCGTTTCAGAGCGTAATAGTTAATTTATTTTAATCATTGACTAATCCTCCATGATCCTAACAGACCACAGTTTATCTATTTACCCTTCAAGGACATCCTGTTTGTCTACAATGTTTAACAATTATAAGTAACATTTCTATAAACATTTGTGTGCCGGTTTTGAGACAGGCATTGTTGGTTTTTACCACAGAGCCAGAACTGACCCACAGCTGACCCTACAGAAGGTTTTCAGAAGTACTTAATTCCACGGGAGGAGACTGCCCATCTTACTCCCATGGAGCAGCTATTGGCCTTGAACCGCATGCCTTTGGGTTTGCAGCACAGCTTCTTGCCATTAGGCCACCAGAGCTCCCAGATAGGCATATGCTTTCAATTTAATTGGGTAAACACGTGGGAATTGAGTAAACACGTTGGAATTGAGTGTTGATCTGTGGCGTGCATTGCTCCTACTCTTCCTGATGCCAAATATTGCCTCATCTACAGACACTCCAACTTGGGGACAGAGGGCAAAAGAGAGGAAGGGGAACTCTTACCTTCTAAGCCTTTCCTTTGCAAGATCTTGTTCTCACTGAAGGTGCCTTTCAGCACCTCCCAGTCTAAGTAGCACATCCTGAGTCATGAAACTCAACTTGCAAATAGCAAATAAATCTACTCTTCTTTGTCAAGACATCTTATTGTGTCATCCCTGAAATATGTATTCTTGGGAATTTCCCTTGATCATAAAATAGCCATTTGCAGCCCAGGTCAGTTGCATGATGATAATCATCTGCTTCCCAAGAACATGGCTGTGTGGGAAGAGCTGTCTAAACAGGCTGGGTGAAATGATGATGTCACACAGAAGTAGGATTTCAGGGAAAGAGACTGTTCACTAGGGCACTGTGTGGGTGTGTCCACCTTGTGGGAGAGTTCCTGAGGACAGTGCAGAGAGCTACCCGGCATCTCTCCATGTTTCTCTGGCTCAGTCTCATTATTTCAAGTGGGCTCTCGTGCATTTGGGAGCCCCATGAGAGGGTCCCTGTTACAGCACACAACCAATTACTAACAAAGCCTTTGCTCCAACTCCACAAGTTTCTCCTCCTTAACTGACCGCTGGAAGAAACACCACATGCAAAAGTCCACGGAGTTCCTTTCTCTTCCTGCCTACTCAATTTTGCAAGATAAATCCTGATATACGGCATTTAATTGGCTCACACAAGAGGTTTTGTTTAATTGTTTTGCTTTGGGTTTTCTTCCCCATGTTACACATATATCGTTCATAATTCCCTGAATTTGTGACATCAGCTAAGGTCAAAGTTGGGTCTAAGTGGAGTCTATAAAAGGAAGGGAAGAGTGGATTTAAGAAATACTGTAGTTCCAAAGAACATGGAGAAATTATGCTAAAATTTCAAAGAAATTTGAAATAGACGTTTCTGTGAAAAAGAAGCTCTTAGAGTAAGACATACTGATCCTGATATAAAAGCATACAAGGCTAAATCCTTGCTCTGAAATTCATTTGCTTTATGCCCACGTTGTTGTGCACCATCGAGTCGGAACCAACCCTTAATGCTCTGGTAGGTTTTCAGAAGCTGTTAATCTTATGGGAGGAGAATGCCCATCTTTCTCCCACAGAGAAGCTGGTGGATTTGAACCACATCCCTTGGGGACAGCAGCACAGCTTCTTCCCACCAGACCATCAGAGCTCCTTGTTCACATGGCCATGGAAAATTTATTTATCCCTGCTAGGTTTCAATTTTATTTTCTGTACAATGGGAATAAAAGTACCAATCTCATAGAATTATCATAAAAATTAAAGGAGACTATGGCAATAAAGTCTACCTTGGAATTTGAGTCAGAATGGCCTCTACAGCAAGGATGATAGGACTTTGTCTTACATACTTGGGCACTAAATCAAGAGATGCTAATCTGTGGAGAAAGACATCACATGTGGAAAATTAGAGGTTTATGGGGGGGGGAACTTTCAATGAGATGGACTGACAGGCAGGATGCACCGACAGAGAGGGTTTTGTTCTGCTGCACACAGAGCTGCTATGAATCAGAGAAAATCCGATGGCCACTAACAACAAAACAAATGAAAACACATGCTGAATCCTGATACTATTACTTTTAACTTGGTTTGTTGCCTTTAAGCAAAATAAATTTCAGATGAGGTTATAAATTCAAGAAATAAGACAGTTAAGCTCTCTGCTCCTCGTCGATCAACAGATGGCCCTCTCTTCTCCTGCAACCTCAGCTGCGTCCCTGAGACGCGATGGTGAAGGAATAAATGGATTTGGCCACATTAGACCAGGGCTGCTTCCCTTCCTTTACCTCAACTACATGGTCTATATGTTCCAGTATAACCCCACCCATGGCAAGTTCAATGGCACTGTCAAGGCTGAGAATGAGAAGCTTGTCATCAATGGAAAAGCCATCACTATCTTCTGGGAACTAGATCTAACCAGCATCAAGTGAGGTGATGCTGGTGCTGAGTATGTTGTGGAGTCCATTGGTGTCTTCACAACCCTGGAGAAGGCTGGGGTTCACTTGAAGGGTGGTGGCAAATGGGTAACCATCTCTGCTTCTTCTGCCGATGTCCCCATGTTTGTGATGGGTGTGAACCATGAAAAATATGACAACTCTCTCAAGATTGTCAGCAATGCCTCCTGCACCACCAACTGCTTGGCTCCCCTGACCAAGGTCATCCATGACAACTCTGGCATCATAGAGGGACTCATGACCATTGCCCATGCCATCACAGCCACTAAGGATGTGCATGGTCCCTTTGGAAATATGTGGTATGATGGCCGTGGAGTTGCCCAGAACATCATCCCTGTATCTAATGGCACTGCCAAGGCCTTGGGAAAAGTTCTCCCTGAACTGAATGGGAAACTTACTGGCATGGTTTTCTGTATTCCCAACCCTGATGTGTCAGTTGTGGATCTGACCTGCCATCTGGAGAAAGTTGATGACATCAAGAAAGTAGTCAAGTAGGCATCAGAATAGCCTCTAAAAGGCATCCTGGGATACACTGAAGACCAGACTGTCTCTTGTGACTAACAGTGACACTCACCCTTCCACCTTTGGTACTGGGGCTAGCATTGCCCTGAATAACCATTTCCTGGTATGACAGTGAATTTGGCTATAGCAACTGGGTGGTCAACCTGAGGGTTCACATGGCTCTAAAGAATAAGAGACCCGTAGACCACCAGTACCAGCAATAGCACTAGAAAAGAGAGAAAGACTCTCAGCTGCTGGGGAGTCCTCTCCCCAACTTGTTCTTCCCACACTCTGAGAATCTTACATCCTTGACACAGTTTCCATCCTGTCCCCCAGAGAAAGGAGAGAGGCTTAGGGAGCCCATCTTGTCATGTACCATCAATAAAGTACACCATACTAAGCCAAAAAAAAAAAAAGAAGATGAATAGATAGTTAAAAGAAGTAAAATAACACATGGTGGTGGTGGTTGTTGATTGCCTTCGATTTAAGCATGACTCATAGCAACCCTATGAACAAAAGGCCTGAAGCCCCTCTACAACTATCGACATTTATCAAAGTTCATAGAGTTTCCAGAGGCATATTGTTTAGGAAGTGGACACATGAGTAAATAAATAATTTTCTAATCAGCCTAATAGTTGTATGCAACCCAGAACCAAATAAGATAACACCACCAATATTATATTAAACATTCTACAGCTATGATTGATCCAAGTATAACAACAAACTAGGAACAATAATTTTAACATACTTTGGACATGTGGCAAAACGCCATCAGTCCTTGGAGAGGAACGTCATGCTTGGGAGGGTGGAGGGACAGTGCAAGAGAGAGGGAGACCCTTGATGAGATGGATTGATTCAGTGACTGGGAAATGGGGGCAGGTGTGTTAGAGACAGTGAGATTGGCATAGGATAGAGCAGGGTTTAGAGCTGTTGTACATAGGGTCACTATGAGTCACAGCCAACTAGATGGCACACAACAACAAAATGCAGGAAGTTACTATCCCTAAGGTTAAGGTCTCTAATTGGTCTCTCTCACTCTCTTAGAGGGATGGAGTCTCCCAAGAAATTGGAAGGAAGTTATCACACTGACAACAATGCAGTAGTATTTCCGGCAGGACTTAAAAGGTGATTCCACCACAAAGTAGCCTCTTCCCCAGCCAATCACACAAGCCAGTAGGTGGGGCTGGACTATGACCAAGTCTCAAGAAGCAGTGTCCACCTTCTCAGTTTCCTCTTTTGTGATGGGTCTGTTCAAGTGTTCTATATCTGTCCGTGTCAATAAGGATAGGGCATGAGTTTCCAGGAATTTTGTCATTTCTTCTAGGTTTTCAAATTTATCAGAGGAAGTCACTGAGTACCACTGAGTCGGAACTGACCCACAGCTGACTCTAGCAGGTTTTCAGAGGCAAAGGAAGAGGACGCCCAAAGCAGCTGGTGGATTCAGACCACAGGCCTCGAGATTGCAGCAGTGCCTCTTAGCATTAGGCCACCAGAAAGTTTTTTATAATATTCTGATATTACAGATTTAATTTCCTCTGGTTCTGTTATGATATCACCTCTGCCATTCCTTAACTGCCCTGTTTGCGTTTTCTCTCTTTTTTTTTCTTTTGTTAAGTTTGTCAGCGGTTTTATTTTTATTGATCCATAGTACATTCACAAAATGGAATATGATGCAGCACTCAGGAGCAATGATTTCAAAAAGTACTATTTATTTCAGCAAACAGATGCTGCCCTGGATGTGCTGACTAAGTTGTATCAAGAAATATGGAGGACAGCCAGCTGGCCCACTGACTGGAAAAGATCTATATTTGTCCCCATTCCAAAGAAAGGTGACCCAACAGAGTGCGGAAATTATCGAAAATATCATTAATACCACATGCAAGCAAGATTCTGCTGAAAATTATCCAAAACCGTTTGGAACGATATGTCAACAGAGAGCTGCTAGATGTGCAGGCTGGATTTAGAAGAGGCCATAGTTGTTGTTGTTGTTGTTATGTGCTGTCGAGTCGCTTGCGACTCATAGTGACCCTATGTACAACAGCCCTAAACTCCGCTCTGTCCTGTGTCAAACGCACTGTCTCTGACACTCTCATCCTGATTACCCCAGTTACTGAATCAATCCATCTCATAGAGGGCTTCCTCTCCTGCGCTGTCCCTCCACCCTCCCAAGCATGATGTCCCTCTCTAAGGATCACTCTCTCCTCACA